TAAACTCTTTTACATAATCTTAATATCTCAAACAATATTTTCTGTTTATCTTTAACAATGGCTAACAGCGAATGCTATTTGACATTAAGTCCACCTTCTGGCTATGTATGTAGGTACCTACTTATGTTAAGTGGTCAATAAAGTTATTTACCCACTAAACTCACTAAAAGAGTTTCGTCTCTAATAACCGAAATAAGTTAAATACCAAACAATCAAGCAGTTAACGTGTTTACATTACGCAACTTATGGTAGGTGCCTTACGTTTATAACCATTAGCGGTGTTCCCATATAGAGATTGATTGGTTCATAAAAAGCATAATTGCTAACATACTCCAGAAGCAAGGCTTGCTACACACTAAAGTGGTAATTCTATATAGTTTTTGGTCGATTTTTAAATGAAGGAGATTCTTAATTTCAATGTGTTTTCTTGTAGGTATATTTTGCATTATCTTCATTAGTATTGTAATGATTATTTTTTATGTAGCTTTTTATTTTCTATTTTTATCAATATAAAGTTGGTAATAGTCAATGTAATTCTATCAATTTATATTTTTTGTTTCAAACTTAATTTTTATTTGAAAAAAAAAAAGCAACAGCTGTGTTTCTAGCCCGTTCTTCTCAACTGAAATTGCATTCTGAACTGGGCGGTAATTAAAAAAAGTTACCATTAAAAAATGCTTATTAATAAATTAAGTAAGTACTCGAATAATAATTATTTATTAGTATTATTGTCCTTATGGAAAACATTTCTCCATATTATTTTATCTATAGTTTCCAATGGTGAATTTACACATTTACCACCAGTAGACTATTCAAATTTTGCAGCTCCTACTAATCTCTAAATTTCGGTACCCTAAAACGCAATTGTATTAATTAAAATTTTTTGAAAATGAAATGTAGTTAAATTTTTTTACCTGTAATTAACTTATACAATAATATGTAATATTGAACCGTCTGTAAACCTAAATTTAATCACTCGCATTTTTTACACATATTTAAATACCTGAAGAGACTGCGCAAACTGCCAGATGAAGACGCTGCTCACTTCAGTCCTGTCGTGACCACGACGTGGTGCAATCCACGTCGAAACATCAGCAATAAAGAAGCAGGTATGTAAGCACTATTTATCTACAAAAATTTTTCATCGCATTAAATACCGATAGTGTATTTAAATATGTCTATATAACCAGAGGGAGACTGTACAAAAGTCGATTGCTTGGGTACCTCTGTCCCATTCGTGTTTCTACCGTGAAGCAATTGTGTTTACATGACTGTGTTTCGGTTTGAAGGGTGGGATATGGCGTGAATTTACAGGGTACAGAGGAATAACACCTGAGTCCTCAGGAATGGCAACGCATGGGAGGTATCATGGGCGAAACAGTATACTCTGTTATGTCCATGGTACTGCTCATGTCTATAGGCGACGGTTACCACTTTCCATCAGGTGGGCCGTCAGTTTGTTTGCCATTCTAAGTTGTATAAAAAAAAAATGCAACCTACTCAGCCTGCTAGTAAATTCACCACTGACGATTTCCTCCATGCCAGTTGATAATGATTGTAATCTATTTTTTTACAATACATTAATTATTAATAGTTTGTATCTTCACTGTATACTATTGTGGCGCACCCACGGTTGTTGTCATTCGATATAAGAATATTTCGATTTTTTTTTATACAACTTGTAATGGCGAACAAACAATGTTAAGAGTGGACGGTACACTGTGCCGTACAGAACAGACCGCTATTCTGCATTATCTATAATATTTTTCATGTCTATAAATGTCGATTATCACTTTCCGTTAATAAGCTAACAGTTTAATAAAAACGTAAAATATATTTTACGAAAAAATAAAAAAAAATATGTATATTTGGCAAAGTAATTATGTCACTAAATCGGATGTTAAACGCTTGCAAGTAAAAAAAAGAAACGTGAAAATCACACGTGTTCACACGTAAGGAAGACTCGTAGCATACACACGAGAAATAAAGTCCAATTGAGTATGTCCTCCTTTTGAAGTAGGGTACAACACAATGGAATTGAAAATTTCCATTTTGAAGTACTTTAAAAATAACATACGAAAAGGGATCGCTGTTGTGTTGAAAGCTCGAAGCGGACACTAATTGGCAATATCCTTTTTAGGTTTCCTTGGTCAAAGAGAAGCATCTATAGTTTACTGGTTTGCTGACAGATGTCTGTTTGTCTGTCTGTCAATGTTTAAGTCAGTATGGTTAGTAATACAACTCAACTTTATCTGTGACACTTCATAGATAAACTATAGGTGGTGTATTAAACTTCAAACATTACTAGATAACTTAACGACGTTTCCATATACATTAGTTTACTGGTTTACTGACAGATGTTTGTTTGTCTGTCATTGTATAAGTCAATATGGCTGGTGCTAGTTATACTCAACTACACAACTTTATCTTTGATACTTCACAGATAAAGTATATATAGCGAAGACGGATTCAAACTTTGCTAATTTAGCAACGATTCTATACATCATATATATCCGTAAGTTACAATTGTTTCGTAACATTGTACTTATTATACTGTAAAACGTTGACATGTGTACGTGTGTTTATGTGTATATCTATAACACTCTAACTCCTAAATAGAAAGAAGAAAGAAAGAAAACAATTATTGCCAACAACAAAAAGAGTTTCATTTTAAGAGACATTAAGTATCAATAGAAAACAAACTTCAAATATAGATGAACCGATTTTAATGCGGTTTATTTATTTTAGTTTCACATAGGTGACATTGACAATACATCATGTCATTAAACCTAACGAGATCAACTAAAACACTTTCAGCTGCAAAAACAATTTTAATAATTAAACGACAAAACTATTATGAGATTCATATAAGAGCAAACCAAGATTGCAAAAAAAGTCATAATTTATTCAGAATTAGAAGACATCTCGTAACATATACCTACACATAAAAATAGAATCGAACTAATAAACTAACTAACAACCCGCCATAAACTAAAATTTCATCCCACCATCTGGACGAGTGGCGGTCCTCTACCGTGCGTTTTTCAAGGCACTTTCTTCCACGCACAACCACTCTTTGGAATCAACTTCCAGCAGCAGTAATTCCGAACCGATACGAGAGCATAACCTTCAAGAAAAGAGCATATTCCTTTTTAAAAGGCCGGCAGCACACCTGCAGTGCCGTTAGTGTTGTGGGTGATCATGGGCGGCGGTAGTCCCTTACCACCACGTGAACCACATGCTCGTTTGCCGCCTGTGTTGTAAAAAAAAAACTAACTGTCGTCTAGGTACAAGTACCTTTGTGATCTTTTATAAAATAAAAAAAAAAAAACAATAAACTAGCTCTTACCCATTACTTCGTACATTCTACGCGTAGATTTCAGAAGTAGGAAAGCCAATAAAATAAATAACTTCTGGGTGGCATATCAAAATAAAACTTACAACAGATTTAAATTTAAAACTTCAGAAACACGTCTGTGTTCTCACATAATCCAATCATACATCCAATTTGATGTCTACTATACCAAAACCTATATGGATTTTTACATAATGCCAGAATAAACAAACATACAGACAAAATTTCTGTAAATTATTGTTTTGCATGGACTTCATTTACCATGTACAAACATCGTCTAGTTACAATTTTATTATCTTAGTAAGATACACAGATGTCTACAAAGCGATCACTCCAATGCGTAAGTGGCTTTAAACGATATTTATTGGCGCATTCCGTTGGAAATGAGACGAGACGGTGATCTGTGACGTTAGATGTTTCGTAATAGATAAGAGTATCGATCTCTAACCAATCAATATATGAGAAATACCTACCGGTATTTAGTAATCATGTACCAAAACACAAAAATATGATTATTTTTAATTCAACGCCCAAAAATCTAGAGTTCTCAATTTTAACTGTGATTGCAAAGGCTATCGCTAAATAGAATCGTTTAAAACTGAATATTGTAATTTATAAACAAAGAGAAGGAAAAATTAAATTTATTATTAAACAATTATTATTAGAAATGACAATTATAGTTTATGAATTGAAATAATAATAATTACTCTAATTAAGAAAATTATATTTCCAATGTAAGTAAAAATAACATTGTTATTAACTTATTGTTGTTACTGTATGTTTTAGTGCAATAAAGAATATATATAAAATAAGATTATGTTAATATGTATAGACGAAGGTTACCACATTCTATTAGGTGGGCCATTAGCTTGTTTGCCATCCTATGCTGAACAAATAATACAAAAAAAAAGTATTCCAATAAACAGAGACGAACCAATAATAACTCATTCATTTTATTGCTCAATCAAAACCTCACTATTAAAATCATCCATCAAACAATACAACAAATATGTAAAATAAAAAAAATAGGTCCTGTAACTAAATATCGGGAAGCATTTTGGGGCGGAACTCGGCCACAGTAGCCCGGTTTGTTTGTCGTCTGGCAACCCGTTGGCGCGTAAAGCGTAGCCATGTTTGCATTGCAAACAGAAAAAAATCCGGGCATTCAGAATTCACGCGCCAAACAAACAATTCTCATTTCAAAAATCATATTTTTAAAATTGCGATTCGTTTTCTGCATCGAGAGCGTAGATTAATAACAGTGCAATATTATTTTTAAAAATATTTCATGTTGTTAATTTTTTATTTTGATTAAAAATTTTAATAATAATAAATAATTTTAATTAAAAAATTTTCAGACAATCCTATTGAAAAGAGATTATCGGGACTTGAAAACTATAATTTTCTAATCAGTAATCGTATCCAGATTTGAAATTAATTTTTTCTATAGGCACTAATAAAAACGAACAACAGTATACCTATTAAGAAGTATAAAAAAATCTCCGTAAATTCAACTTCAACAACTGAGTTCGCTTTATGATGTGGAACAAACTTTAGTTCTACTCGCACCTTAAAACCTCTTCCACAGATAAAGTAATTATAATTTTCTATCTATACCTTTGCGTGAAAATAAAATAGAACTTACCGGCAAAAGGCACATCGCACACGTACTCTTCTACGCAGTTGTCCGTGTTGCCACTTCGGTCCGTCGCCCCACTTGCAACTGAGGCGGCGGACGCTGCCCGCAATAAACTCACCTCAGTCTCCGTCTGACTGTCGCGGAGTACTGATCTCCTCTTGTACTCCTATAATAGAAATTATAAATTAATACTTCTACTTGTTTAAGCTTAAAAATTTGCAACTCTTTTTTTTATACTACTTAGAATGGCAAACAAGCTGACGGCCCACCTGATGGAAAGTGGTAACCGTCGCCTATAGACATGAGCAGTACCATGGACATAACAGAGTATATTGTTTCGCCCATGATACCCCCCATGCGTTGCCATTCCTGAGGACTCAGGTGTTATTCCTCTGTACCCAGTAAATTCAGGCCATATCTCACCCTTCAAACCGAAACACAGCCATGCAAACACAACTGCTTCACGGTTAAAACACGAATGGGACAGAGGTACCCAAGCAATCGACTTTTGTACAGTCTCCCTCTGGTAAAACTCAGTTATAACGTGCTGGCAACACCTCTAATATTGCAAGTACTCTTTTGTGATGTTAGCCATTTTCTCTCAAGTGGAGCATCAGCTCGTTTGCTTTCTTAACAATAAAAAAAAATTAAAGCAATGCGGTTGAAAATCCTATCTATTTCAAAAAGAATTATAAATATCGGTTCAGAATTAATTCTGAACTGTAACGTAATGTAACTGCAAATCTAATAATTTCTCCTCTTTATCAGTCCTCAATTTGGTTGTACTTTTTTATTGGTTGTTACTTCATAACTTTGTTTTAGACAAACCGACCTGGAAATTCTTTTTGAACTAAAAGAGTATACTTATAGGATGGTCACATAGAAATTTTATAAAAATCTGTTTAGTAATTTAGTTTTTACACAATTGAAATCTTTTTTTTATATGGACAATCATTAATTATGTTATAAATGTTCATCATAATCTAAAGATGCATGCAAAAAAAAAATACCATAATATGTATTTCTTATCACTGTTCAATCTTCCTTAGGTACTCTAACAATCTTACTTACCGTACCCACTTCTACTAGCAAGAAAAGTTTTTTTTTGTTGAAATTTAATATAATAATATTTTGATAATAGTGAAACTTTGTACACATTTTTGTATTAATAGAGAAATATCTGTACTTTATACCAGCCATAATAGCTGCAATGATGATGATGATACCATCATAGTATTTTTCTTTCTCGAAATCCATCTCAGGAAGGATTTTGACATAAAGTACAGATGGTAGATGTTACAATGGCTTATTAGCAGGAACATGCTGTGAGAACCGATAAGGGAAGGTAAAACCTTTTTAGTACATGCACCCAAATGTATTGTGCATACAAAGTAAACAGAACGATGACTTTAAATGCTGCAGCGCGTCGATACACAGGAAGTTCAAGGATCAGGCCATTTTTATGACTGTCTGTGACGAGATATAATTGTCAAATTTGAATTTCGAACTTGTAAATAAATTGAATTGACATAAACGTATCAAACAAAAGGTTAATTCAGAACGCCAGATAAAAAATTTCCAAATTCGAAATCAAAATTTGAAGGTTACGTTCTAAATTTTTGGTTACGTCAAGACGTAAGTGCAAATTGCTCTGTTAAATAGATTTAAATGAATTTCCCAGAAATAAACTACAGTCCACGCATGTAGTTGTGAAGAAGTTACATAGACAAAAGAGAAAGCCAACCTATTCTAAAATTTTCGCTGCGTAGGTTATCTAAAAATGGCTACTTTTCATAAAGTGAGCTGTTCGCTATTTCCGGTCGTAATGTTAAAGATCAGAGAGCAAAATAGCTAACTTAATTCATACAGGATGCCATTACAATATTACTATCATAGCTTAAATTAACACCATTGAACCGCTAATGGCATGAATCTGTAAAGGATACATTAGAATTATAACACATGGCTAAGCTTACAAAGTTTCACATTTATTGAATGTATTATTTAATTTCTACCTATTGTACTAGATAATAAATATTAAAATTGAAGGATTTTGGGCATTTATTATACGGATTTGATTAATATTTGATATGCAAGGAGTTCACCCTCATACCCCAGAGCCTAAATGGTTGCATACATCGCGGTTTCAGAGATGTTTTCGCCTATGAACGCTCAGGTTATGAAATAAGCGAGGTTTGTCCAAGAGACCACAGCATGGGGTTCTTCAAAAGGGGGGAAAAGAGGTTTCTTCAGGGTCGGCAACGCACGCGTAATACCCCTAGTATAGCAAGCGTTCATAGGCTACGGTAACCGCTTACCATCAGATGGACCATATACTTGTTTGCCACCTCAGTGGTATTCATACAGGCGCAGCTGCGAGATATGCTGGAGTCAGTTTTCAGGAACTGATGACGTTGATGATGATGGTATCGGCCGCTAACCCTCTGACAGGGCATCCCGCGATTTCCGCATGCAGGATCTACTAGTTTAATTTTAAGCATCCCGCGATTTCGACGTGCTCGCATTTTTTGTGTTTATTGACGTTGTTGTTGATCTCGCAATTTTTTGTTGTCTCTCAGAATCTCGCTAGATGGCTAAATACTCGTACTGCTATTTGTTGTCAAAGCGATGTGTTTTATTTTTGTGAAAAAAAAATACGGGGATTAATAGTCCCTGAACACAGGCCTCTACCTTGAAGGGTTTTGCCAGCAATTACCACGCTTCGCAGTCAGGCTGGTAACCGCAGTTAGACTTTAGAGATGTTTTAAGAGGGACGCTACTATCCATCATTCATGCTTAGTTGCCTCTTAAGACACCCACGGGAAAAAAGGGGACTACTCACTTTTAAGGAACTGAAAAAATTTATAGTAATTAAAAGAATAACAAGTATGTATTCACATACTCAGTAATTTGTCTAAAAATTTTGAATCTTTCCTTTTAATATAATAAAATTGTAACTAAACGATGTCTGTACATGGGGGATATTTAAGAAAATTTTTATGAGCGGTCTTAATAAAAGCAATAAAAAACAAAACGATAATTTTATAGTTTTATCTATTTGTATGTTTGTTCTATCATTACACAAAAACTACTGCACCGAACTAAATGCGGTTTCCACGATCATGTTTCTAAAGATATATCTTAACTAGAAGTGATCTTTTTCACTAGTTTACTTAGATTTGAAAGCCACGTGTACGAAGTAGAAAGCAAATTGCTTGTTATTAATATAATTTGACTTACGTAACGTACGTACGTGAACTAGTAAAGTTCAGCACAACAATATAAATCAATAAGCCTCTGGCTGTGCTAATAAAAATTATAGGTCATAAACATATATATATATATATATATATATATATATATATATACTATATATATATATATATACTAGTATCTATGGGTACACGACAGGAGTACACCTTTTCAATTAAAAAAAGAGAAAAATCGTCCCACAATTGTAGTTTGTACGAGTACAAGATAGAAGAAAAGAAACAAAAATACAGCCGAATTAAGAATCCCCCCCTTTTGAAGTTCGAAAAAATAATTTCATTTTGCTAAAGCGTCTAAAGTTGTGCCAAAAATATTATAACCTATTTGTATTATTTAAATAACAAAACAAAAACGCGGATCTGTAACCTATATACATGATACTTTATTACAGTAAACAATTTATTAAAATAAATAGGTTACTACTTAGAAACCTATAAAATCGTGGCCTCAATGGATTTATTTATCTGACCGTATTGTCCGAGTTATTTATTGAACACATATTTAAATATAAAGTAGGTACTACATAGTTTTCATAGCTAAAAAGCTGGACCATTTTTATGGCATTTACGGTATCACCTTGACCTTTGAAGAATGACGCAAGTTACTTTTTTTTAAATGCGCTACTATGGTGATGAAGCAGGTTGAAAAAGGTTGTCAGATATGAAACTTATTTAGTATAAACTATCAGCAAATTTCTAAACGTAATAAACGTTGCTGTATATATTTTGTAAGGCGTTCGTAATAAAACGACACTGATGTACATGTTAGAAAAACTGAATTCTTTATTAAATAATTGATTGGATGGGAGATTGTTAATAATATGAACTAACAGTCCCATTGCTAACACTACACCTTGTCAGGTCAACCTCCACGTGGCCCCCTTTAATACCATCGTGATGAATTTCAGGTGTATTCATCAAGATGGACTAACTGACCTGCCTTTTCATTCTCACCTATTATCCCTCAGATGCTCCGCCAGCGTATACCGTTAGCTCAGGCGGAGTTACCATTCCATTATCATCCATAAAAAAAACTCTTATGATAATATCTTGAGGCACATTACCCATTAATATCACTGTCATATAATGTCACGTTTTAAGCTGGAACACAGCATGCTCGGCGCCAGAAATGCCTGATAAAAAAGTAGATAAATACTTACGGAAACTACTACGCACAAATTGTCTAGTATGAGTTTAACACAAACATGATTAGTTATAATTGCGTACACGTTTACGTCGGTAAGTTTGTATGGAAATCTCAATCTCCACTACTATCTATTAATTAAATATTAAATACATATTTAAAAATAAAAAATTATATAAACTTGAACGCATGACGTGTATCACTGTACAAAACAAACTAGACACCCTAAAAAAAATAAAAAAAAACATGAACGAAAAAAAAAATGAAATTTCAATAAGGTTCTAAATTGGTAGATCGACTGGCATACGACTGGACAAAGCAAACTTTTCACATTAAATAGTATTATGTTTTTTCCAAACATAACTCTATCTTAAAACCTTTTAAATAATAAATCGTGGTTTTTGTTATATTTTTTAGCGACTTTTGTCCATCAAAAGTACCTACACATCTAACTTTTGACAAGTTTTTGTTTTTTTTTATATATGTATACATTTTAGAAAGTTAGCGACAACAAATAAATTATAACATCCTACTAGGTATTAAATATAATCTTATCAAATATATTTTTTCTTCTGAAAATAAAAAACTATATTATCAGACTAGTAAATTCCTTATACATACTCGAACAGCATGTATTATATATGTAAAATACATATCTATACGTACCTACTGAATTAACAAAATGTACAGAGTAATTATCCCACTTTGGAACTATAAAGAAATAAAACAAAATATAAAAATAACAAAATCAAACAAATAAAAATCACATAAGTAATTTATTACTTAACAAAATAAAATAATACATGAAGTTTCTTAAATATAAAATTAACATAAAAACATCCATGGTTAGAAATATATATTTTAAAACATGTTTCACTAATTCTCAGTCTGATTGTTGTCTTTTTTTAAACTAATTGATTTTCTTATTGTGGAAATTATAATTTATTATTTAAATGAAAAATTAATGTGATTATGCAGAGTAAATATAATGTTTAAATAGCCTAATCACTGTTATAATTGATTTATCAACATCCACTATACTAGTCCCTACGACAGTCGTCGTAACTCGCTTGCTACAAATTCTCGTTTGAAACGGATAGAAACCATACCGAGATATGCGCATTGTAATGGAAAATGTAAAATTGTAATTTTAAGAGTAATTAATATATAAATAAATATTAATTACTCTTTACATTTGATTGAAAAATAATTTTTAGATTTTTTTTTCCAATATTTGATCAATCAATATTTATCTTCTTTTGTTATCCATAATCGCAATAACTGACAGTTTCTATCGGTTTCAGAGGAAAATTATTAGGAAACAAAATTTAGAATTACTTCTTGATTATAAGATATTTTTTTTTAACTGTATATGCAACATCCATGTTTACAGTCCAAACTTTTGCGTTATAAAACATCAACCATTACTTATTATTAATGAAAAAGATACTGTCATGTTGATAAATTAATTGATGAATAAAAAAAAATTATAAAGTAATCAAATTTAAAAAAAAATGCAAAATAAAAAAATACTTTGCAAAACAACAAATGTAAAATTAAAGAACCATCAAGTTGCAGCTGAATATAAATTGAATAACGTAATTAATTCATTAACAAACGCTACAAAACTGTCCAAAAGGCTATGATTATGCTTTCTATACAGGAATAAAACTGAATATACTTAAAAATATTTTCCTATACGAATATGCTCTAAAAAGATGCTAATACTTTGGGACATGTTTTACTAGTGATACTAATTTCCCCCACAGAAACATAGGAATGTTTTGTTGTTTTTTGACCCATTACCCACTTGGTAAAACACTATATTAAAAGATTTTAATAATGTCATTTTTGAAGTCACTGATATAACTTTTGGTAACATCTGTACCTATGTACATTGCAAAACATTAGAATAATATTTCGAATACACTGTAACACAGAATATTCTAATTTAAGACAAGTTTTGTTCGCATACAATGGCGATACGTCTTATTAATTTAGTAAATGTTGAGTACCATCGCAACAGAAGTATAAGTAAGTAAGTAAGAAAAAATACACTGAAATAAACAGTAAAGCACCTACTCACTCGCATTTATTTCTATGGAGCGAGTTTCTTTTGGTAGCATTTTATTTTTGTGTTAATATAACTTAACATAAATGATTATCATACAGCGATGCGATATTTAAAACTATAGGTATTTTATATAGCACCTTACAAATACTTATACTGATAAACTATATCATGTGACAACGTAGATATATCCTTAAAATAACTACATCCAGAGCACCGTTAGCGAACATAAAAAAGACTAGCTAATTATATACGACTTAAATATAAACATGTATAAAATAAAGGCAACATTTGTACAGAAATGTATGTATCAACTATTCTTATTACTTTCAGTTATATCACCCTGCGATTTCTTTCTAACTCTTATCTCTTCTACAACTTCCATTATAAGCTGAAATATTTAAAGAAATTATAATTAAATTGTAAATAAAATGCAAATCATATGTGAAACCATGCACATGCAATACTAAAATATATAGTTAGTGATGAATTTATGTCTTTTTTTTTTTTAGTTATCACAGGTGATATCTTTATTTATTAACTTAAAATTGATTATAAATAAAATTTGTTAAATTTTTTTCTCCGTGTGCGAAAATAAAAATATACAGAAACTATAAACAAGTGCTCTCTAAACCTAAGCTCACACATATGTACATATTTTTCAAAATGTACAGAAATTGGAAGGTTGATAATTATCCTGTTTGCATGTGTGCTTAGTTTAATTCGCATAATAGCTAAGAAATTGTGCCAATACTACGTACAATACAACTTCAATCAGGACTAACCTGACTCAAAGGCCTGATCCGTTCATGTATGCTGTTCTCTGCTTGTTTCGCTGACGGGGGAGGATGATCGGGCGTAGGCGGCTGCTCATAGTGCGTCGGCGACAGAGGTAACTCTACCCTCTGACCATCGTAATACCGTTCACAATCGCTCGGACTGTTCATCGATTGGTCGTCTAACAAGCTCTCTAGTGACGACCGCTCCTGATTTGAATACTTCCTCACTCTGTTATCGTTCATTCTCGGTTCATAGTTTTCGTACGGCGGCGCGAAATTGTTTCTTCTTAATTTCCTACGAGGATTCTGTTCCTTTATAACGACATTTTCATACATAGCCGTGATGGCTACGGGCTGTGAACGGTTTTTGAGGCTCGGCCGAGGGTTGGGGACTGGCACTATTCGCGGGGAGTTGTGGTTATCCTCGTACTCTGAGTACGAGAGTTTACCATCGACATATTGGTCTACCGACCGGCCGTGTTTGAGGTAGTGTTTGCTGCCCTGCAACAATAAGATGGGAATATTCCAAAAACGATGATACAAAATATATGGTAAATCTTACACTTTTGAATAAATAAAATTAATTAAATGGGAGTTTCAATATCATCATATCAGCTATTATCCTTCCACTGTTTAACATAGGCCTCCCCTATAACCTGCCGTAACTGTCTTGAGCCACCTCCATCCATTGTCTTCCTGCAATGCATATGAGGTCGTCACTCCATCTAGTGGGAGAATGTTCTACACTGCATTTGCCCATCCCATTTACACGCCACTCCCCATCCCTTTCTTCCCCATCGGATATCAATTCCTCGAACCAAGTGTCGAGCCCCTTGCTACTTCAGCTTGCTTATCCTTCAGACTATATCGGTCATTTTGATTACTTTGTGGATATCCTCATTTCAGATTATGCCACAGAATGAAAATTTGCTCAAAATATTTTAGGTGTCTATGGTATGTCCAGGGAGAAGAGGTACAACTATATTTACCATATGCCACTCTTTAAAGCGAAGTTCATAGTGTGCCGAAGTCGAAGTCATACAAACACAAGTGCTTGGCAGCAAAAACATATGTGAGACAACTGGTGACATATAGATTGTAGATTACTTTCATACAATATCTCTATCTATGTCTATATATATCTATATTTAATTTTATGAAAAAAACGAACTAAAGTTTTAAATAACATCTGGTCTTTATCTGGTAATTGCCTATTGTTACCACACTGTCTTGACACCTTGCTTCCGAGAAATTAATACAACAATAACTCGTCTCACGCATGCTCGATGGCTGCGAAGACCGATTTCTTAATATCCGATAATTACCTGTATATCATCCAAGTCGTCCTGACTTCTCGCGTGTGGTCTCAGCTCGTAACTGTACCCCGACGACGGCGAGTTCGCGTGTGTCGGTGAAACGGACAAATTCCGGCGCGGAGGTTTCTTTGGAGGTGTGGGCTGTGAAAGAACATTACGAATTAAAAATTTTAATCAACCTTTTTACTATTCCTAATAGGATTAATCTGTATCAGATGCAATTTAAACAGATTTAAAAATGAAGGCCCTTTTTTTTAATATATTTTTTGTAAATAAACATGAACTTGTGATGTGATGAACATGAAGAGGAAACTATGTTTATTGGTCCTATACCAATTTTGTTAAGATTGAAGTCAGTTTTGTGCAAGCAAAATAATTAGGCAAAATTTATAAATTTTCCAATTTATATACAAGACTAGTTAATGACAATCAAAGTGAAAGATTTTTTCAGTTGAGGTAGTACATTACTATTAAATACAAAAAGGTTTCAAAACTCAAAAAGAAAAAAAAAAACAAATAATTAGTTATTCTTTATTATTCCCTTCATTTAATGTTTTTGTACTTTCTTTAGATACCTATATTTATACTTTTCTATACGTGATTACGCTAATATTTGCAGGCGAATTCAGAATAGGTTTCTATTTTTGGCTCATCTGATTGTCGTCGTAGAAGCGAGATAAGTGGCCGCAATTGAGTAATAGGGAATTGAATGAATGCGAAGATAAAATTAAGACATGAGGCCTGTAGGAGGTTAAGGCGGGCTATTTTGCAAGTCCTTATACGGTATTATATGGTAATGATAGAAAAGCTTGTATAAGAAACAAGCGATATTATATAATATTTCTATATCAAAATCCACTCGAATATTAGTTATGACAACCGACGACGGGCTAAATAGTTGCCATCATAAAAAACTCTCACTATATTAAAACACCAAAATGATTCTAAATAGATCGAAATGGAATCATGTTAACCCAGCTGCTTGGTATTATATGCTTGGTATAATAGTTTTTTTTTCTATAATACTATTTTTAGATTTAAAAAAAAGTCAAATGTATATATTATCAAAGACACAGTTATATTACAGGGTGCAAAGGTAGAACACCTTAGTCCCCGAAATGGCATCGTATGAAGGGTACAATGAGTATTAATGTATTCTGTGACATCCATGGTGCTATTCTGTAATGGCGACTCACTTCCATCATATGGGTAGTCAACTTGCTATACAAAGTTATATAAAAAAAAAATGAATATGTTAATGTTTTAATGATATTAGTAATTAGTAACATGTGCTTGTCTCTGGTTTATACGATCCCTAATGTTCTTATATTCATGTACTTTAATTTTATCCATCTCTTTATATGTAACTACCATAAATATCCCACTACTAAGCACGTGTCCCTCTGTCCGTGTCCGTGTTTTTTTTTCTACAATACATTGTTTTAGAGTAAGTACAAGGAAGATATTAACCTACTAAATACAAGTATTACATGATCATGCCGCTTAGTACCGTTTATTAATTGTTGTTCCCTTAGTCACCTTTCACGACATCTTGTAGATACAAAAAAGTAATGACAAATACTAGAGAATATTACCACAAATAACTACAAATTTTGTTAATGCTATCTTCTAACTTGTACCACACAGTATGGTCCAAGTGGAGCAAGTGATTTAATAGTGAGACTCAGATGAGGAGTAAATTGGTTGCAGCCGGTCACTGAATGGACAATTTTCTACGTTTAATGGGCTTTTATGTACAAATTTGTTCTATTATGGTCAATGATAGTATTTACGGCACTCGTTTGAATGGATCATCTTGAATCAGATAATAAAATCGGTTTTGAGTCTTAACTTTTCGATAAATATTAGAATAAAAATTAAATAAATAAATACTACACATTTGGTAATGTATAGTATACTGATGTAAATTAAAAAAAAACTGCTAAAATACTTTAAAAAAAATGAGGTAGGTACGATAAAGTTTAAATAACATAAAATTAAAAAATTACTCCAACTACGACAAAATTATAAGAATACAAATTTTAATTGTTTAGCTACAAAACTCGATGGGATTTAGGGATCTATTTTAACATTTTCATTAATATATTGTATCTAACCCCATAAAAAAAAAAACATTATGATAACACTCTAACAATTGATAGAAGTCGAAAATTTGTATTGCAAATTTGCAATGAGCAAAAATTCTCACAAAACTCTTTGGTAGGTACAATATTATTTATTTAAACAATTTTATAAACGTAGATATTGCATTGGCTCAGAACCGTTATCTATGGAAGTCTATGGAGAAGACAAAACATAAGCTTCCCCCAATAAATGCTTGAAATGACAGGCAATGATAAAAATTGACTTAATTATGGTTTAACTAATAATTATGTCCTTTTCTATTTAAAAAATCCAGAATGCGATGCTTACATGTTTTCATAGCGGCTAGCTGGTAGATACTATGGAAGTATCAAGTTCAACCGTTATTACGGGATATGCAAATAAACATAACCTCAAACTGCCAGTAGGCGTATCTGACCGTTTAAACTAGAATCCAGGAAATCCTGTGCGAACAGCATTTCCTAAACAAAAATGTTCTAAGTCAGTAGTCAATACAACGCGCATTCACGGCAGAATTCTATTTTATGTTGACCTATTTACAAAACATTCAAATGTATCGGCGGTCCAAGCGAAAAGCTAAAAGTTGTAAATTAAATAAATAATGATGCATACTGCTATGTTACTGGAAATGAGAAAGAAGAAAGCGATCTATTTGCATTGTTTTTATACAGTTTTTTGTTGAAACCCAAAATCTTGCTCATCGTGTTTTGTAAAAAAAATTTATACCAAACGGGAAATTATTTTTCTATACAGGATAGTCTATAAAAAAAAATTACAACAGGTTGCCATTAAAATTACAACATTTTTAAATTTATTACTTTAAATTAATTAACGTTACTACTTTTATTCTAGATAAGTAGGACTGTAGTTACAGGGAATTGATTCTTTTTAATGATACCCAATTATATATAACAGAAAAAGCATCTGCTAAAATTTATGATTTACTTTGTAGGTATTACTATAAAGTACCTGTTGTTATTATTAGACCAATGTAATTACGCTTTCGGGTTTCCGCGACAATTAATTAATATTTATAATTAAAATACCTACAGGATGGAATCAAAATCGTAAGCATCATTTTTAACAAAATATTCAAGCACGGAAATTAAAAATATTCAGTAAAGAAACATTGTTTGTAAAACGCATAACACGACCAATGAGGTCTTACGGACTTCAATAATATAAACACGGCGCGTCCAGCTGTTATATTAGTATGAATGCTCAAAATGGTGATGACCTGCGCAGACAAATCACATACGTATATGTGTATTTATAAAATTGCATGCTAGAATGCACAAGTACATAGCATATACGAGTATAAAGAGGAATTTTGTCCATAGACAATATCAATTGCACTGACCTTAAATTTTAAAAGATTCACTTATTAATTGTTGAAATGGTAGGTATGGAATCATACAATGTAGATATTTACGGCCGCACTCAAATTCCGAGCGGATTATAATTTTGACGGCGCCGTTCAAACTTAATCGGCTATAACATCCACATTTGGATAAACAGACATCCATTGTTGGGAGAAAACAAACAATTGAAAAGACCACACGTAATATACATACAGACAGGAGGAAAAAAAAAAGAAAACAGAATTACAATGCTTTTTGTTAATATTGTTAATACTTTTTTTATACACGTGGCTCAGGATTATACCTTATGGTAATCTATAGGAAAAACCTATGGATCAGTGAGGGGAAAGATTATTAGTAATGGGGAGGTTAATCTCTATTGCTGTTAATATACCCTATCAGGTCGACCTCCACGCGGTTCTCCCTGGAAACCATCATGACTAATTTATCGTTGAATTCGTCACGATGGACTAACTGACCTGCCTTTTCATCTTCACCAATCATCCCTCACTGGTGGCCCGCCAGTGTATACCAACAGCACAGGCGAGGTCATCATTCCATTATCATGCATTAAAAAACCTATGATCAGCAGTGGACAGATAATGGATGATGATTATTACTTAGACAATAAAATTAGTAATAAGAATTTTTTAATATATGATAAAATCAAAGATAATGTAGAACATTAACGTAATTTTCATCACAATATTTTGTAAACCCGTAGTTTAATAATTGGTTAAATTTTTTTTATAAAATATTTATAAAATATATTCATAAATTATAATGATTTAATCGACTAGATCAATAATGGTAGCGCAAAATGCATTAATAGTGTTATCGCTACGTTAGAACGAGATAGCAACGTCCAGCATTTTGTACTTCTCATACGCTAATAACAACATATAGATAGATTCGTTTGCCATAAGGAAAATAACTCCAAGATTTAATATTAACTAATGAAAGCTCCTTGTATACTTTTCTTAAAATTTAATACGCAATCCTCAACAATTAACTGATAGTATATTTCTAACCTGTATTAACAATTGCAAAGTAAACAAATATACACTCTCCTTTCGCACTTATACATATATACACATACATAACTTTATTACAAAGAGCGCTTTTTACTCGTTTCGATGAAAACAAGATGAAGAACAAAGTACATCAAAGGGCTACTAGACATAAATTAGATGCGCCCGCGCACGTCACGCCATGACAGACGCATTAATATGGCGCCAACCGGCGAGCGCCATTGATTTGTGGCGGGAACGGAATATATTGACCGTGGCCGATTAGGTTTATTTAATTCAATAATGTCACGTATTTATAAAGTAACAGATAATACAACAAAGACAAACAACAGACAGTTTTATTGGAACGTCCATTATAATTAATGAATGGTAATGGTAAGTTTCAAGTAAGGCATGACGAGACAGAATCTATGGAGAGAGGCAGAATATATCCAGAAAATGGATAATCCAAAAAGGATGGATGAGAAGAAGAAAAAAGGAGCAGCTATAGAAGGAATCTAGGAAAGTTCAAGCTTATATCGAACACTGTGTTAAAATAATTATAACATATATAGAGGACAAACCATCATGTCTTTTGAAATGCATATAAAATGATAAATAAATGGAGGGATGATCTTAAATACAT